TCACCAAGCCAATTCCAACCCATGGAGATCATATGCATACAGAGTAGAACTACTCTATAGGATTTTTAAAGCCATGACCTTTCAGAAACAGATTACCAGGCCTTTCTTCCGAGGCACCTCTGGGTGAGTTCAAACTGCCAACCTTTCGGCTAGTAATTGGGCACTGTTTTCACCACCCAGGGACTCCTAACTTCTGGCATCCTGTCATAAAATAAAGTGACAAACAGCTGCCATGGAGTCAATTCCAATTCATGCTGACCTCATGTTACAGAACAGAACTGTATTCTATAGAGTTTTCATATAGTGAACACATGAATATAATGAGTTGATCCATCTAGTACATAAAGGGTCAGATCCCTTTCTGTCTTTGCAATCTCTTTAGCAGATTATCCATGATGCATCACATTCTGATTTAATGCTTAATCAATAATAAAACTTTTTTCTTAAAAAAAAATTATATAGCTAGCAACTGGTACCAGCAACTGGCAATTACATGGAATTGTTGCCTGTTTAGAGAATTTTTGATGCAAAAGACAATTATGGTGTTATTAAGTGAGGCCCACCCAGCTGTGTGACTTGGAAGAAAAAGTGGCATACATATATTTGGATCCTCTCACAGAACAGAAGTTTATTCTAAAGTTGAAGACTACTAAATAATGAGGCACCGTCAAAAGATTGCAACACACCATGGGTTCTACTGGAACCAAAGCCAACAAAAATGGACTAGAGGGTAAGTGCCCCATCTAATGTGCAAGATTAAATTTACCCAATCTACTATAGGTTACAAATGCTAACCAGTAAAAACTAGTCAAGAGATGCTATCTTAGATCAGACAGCTATGTCCTTGGCAGCCAAATGAATAACTCTGAGAATCAAGTGCTAATCTTTTTCCAGTTCCAATTAGGTTACTAGCCTTGAGACATCTTTATTACCCAATTATCTTTTTCTTTTCCACCAAAAAACCTGAAGAGATACAGGCAGTTCCCAGGTTACAAACGTCTGATTTACAGACAACCCACGCTTGCCCTTTAGGTAAATTTACCCTCACTTTGAAACAACTGAACCTATCTACTCACAACAAATTCTTCATCACAATCACCTTCATTTGCTGCAAGTGCAGCTTTTAAATGACTGGAAATGCTTCAAGCCTTTTTTTGCACTAACCCGCTGCCACTGAGTCGATTCCAGCTCATACCAAGCATGTAGGGCAGAGTAGAACTGCTCCATAGGGTTTTCAAGCCTGAAATGTTTACGGAAGTAGACTGCCACATCCTTCTCCCATGGAATGACTGGTGAGTTTGAATCACTGAACTTTCAGTTAGCAGCACAGCGCTTCAACCACTGTGCCACTAGAGTTCTTTACTTTCACTAAACTAAGGCTAAATAGGAACAGTATGCATCTACTCCAACTTACCTACAAATACCAGTTAAAGATACACTTGAACAGCTGTTGCTTGTAACCTAGGGAAAGCCTGTGTAGCCTTGAATTTTACCAGGAAAACAGGAAGTACTCAGAATCCCAACAATGCCTCTCTGTTCCAAAGGAGTCAGAACTCAGACCACAGCTAAACACAACCGTCCCACATCAGCTTCAGCCATGTTGAAGTAATTCCAGTCCCCAAGGTATTTCTGTCATATCCTCTTGCCTATAATACTCTCCCTACTTCACTTGGCACATGTCTATTCACCTACGAATCCTCATTTCCCTTCTCTATACTTCTCTGGTAGCATAGTGGCTAAGTCACTTGACTGCTAACCAGAAGGCTGGC